TCAAGAAATACAAAATTGCAAAAAGTATGCTTTATGGAAATGGTATTGCAACCTTTATGCCATAAATGGATTTATTCATTGTGCCAAGCTCCATTGATCAGAATAAGACCAATTTCCATTGTATTTGCATTTAATTTTTGAGTGTGGAAGGGTTTAGAGACCTGTAATCAAGTACAAAGCAAGTTTGGACAGATTTTCCAACTTGTGTCAACATGAAAATGCCATGGATCAAAGTGAGTTTTTGCCAAATTAAAATCTTCGATTCTCCCTAACCATAAATGATTTTGGAGATTTCTTGGACATTTTGGAAAGCTTGTAACATTCTCTATAATCCATCTTTGAAATGAATTTTGATATTCCAAGTGGAACTATGTGAAAAATTGCCATGAATATAGGTAAAAATTCTGCCTAAACTAGGGCAAAATTTCACTAAGTTAAAAGTTTCATGGACCCTTGTTCCAAAAATCATAAATTGAGATCCAAGCTTCTTTTGGGGAAACTTTGTAAATCAAAGTTGTAGATTTTGTGGAGGAATGAAACTTTAATGTTGGAAGTTTTTTTTGAATCCAATTGCATCATGGTGAAAATGTTGGGCAAAATTGGGAAAAAATAAGAAAATTTCATAACTTAGAAAAATACTAAGTTATGAAAATTTTCAATCTTAAACCCTAATTTGCAAAATTAGGTTTCTTGATGAAAAAGTTTCTTGTTTTGACACATCTTGATGAAAAATGACCCTTGACACTTGATTTTGACCAAAAAGTCAAAGTTTGACTTTTCAGTGTACAGTCAAATTTTGATCAGTTGACTGAAAAATTCATCTGTCAATCCAATGCATTTGAGATCTTTTGAACCTTGTGATTATGTCAAAATGATTCTATTGAGTCCTTGAATCCATGATTGAACCCAATTTGCCATTGGCTAGGTTAAAAGTCAAAAATTGCCCTTATACAGTCAAAACCCTAAAAATGACCATTTTGCCCTTTTGATGATCTGATCAAATTTCTTGAGGAGTTGTGGTCCAAACTTGATAAAATGGTTCATATGAGTCTATAATGTTGATGTGGATCAAAAAGTATTAGGTTTGACTGTAAATTGTCCACAATTGACTTTTTCCTCAATACAGCTGATTTCTAGGTCAACTGTCCAATTGACTGGGCAAAAATTTGATTCAAGGCTTGAAACTTGGTGGAGGCAATCTTATAAGTCCAACATGAAGTATGAAATTCAATTTGAGCCTTGGAAGTCCAAAAATCCATGTCTTGAGCAGAGCAAACCCTAATTCTGTATGGAATTCAAAGAGTCTTGTGAGGGGAAATCTTGATAAAATGAGAGGGAAAATTTTGGGGTACAACATGATGTATTAGTGAGTATGAAGTGTTTATGTATGTTATGTGTTGTTATATGATGATGTTGTTTATAACTACTAATTTATTCCTTTTATATTTTATAATGAATCATGATTACTCACCCTTTCTGTTTAAATGTTGTCTCCAAGTGGATAACGCGCAAATGCTTAGGAGTAGCTTATAAGAGCACCGCATATAGCTTTGGAGTATTTTGTTAGCTTTCATCTATTAGAGGTTTCTTTCTCTGATATGTAACATCGGGTTGGGAACGCTAAGTTTTGGATAATGTTATGTTACTTTCGTTAACATGTTTTATGAGATTTTTGGATGTTAAATTGGTTGTAAGTACAACTCTTGTTGAGATTATAATACTTGATTTATGGAAGATGAATGAAGTTTATTTATGACGATGAATCTGTTGTGGTATTTTTTTTAAATGATTAGTTGAATTACATGAGTAGTTATTTGCTATTGATGTAACCCGTGTTACAGAGCAGAATTGTTATTATAATATTTTGCATGAAGTATGACACCCTTGAGTGGTGATTTTACTTGAATTATTTCGTAAATTATATGAGAAATATATGAGGGATTAGAAGGGTGTTACATAAGGGATGTAATAAAATTGATGTTTGATGTCCTCAACAATAATAAAGATTTGGCGGTGTTAAATAACACTTTCACTGCCCTAATCCCAAAACACAAATCCAAGCTCCTCAAAGGATTTCAGAAATATCGGACGTTGCAACATAATTATGAAAGTAATTATGAAAATGATAGCAAAAAAATTAAAAAATGTCCTCCATAATATCATTGATGAGGAGAAAATTATGTTTATGGAATATAGGCTGATCAGAGACAATGCATCCATATCTATGGAATCTTTCCATTGGATGAAGAAAAATAAGATAGAAAAAAGGAACAGTGGCCCTCAAGCTTGATATGTCCAAAAGCCCGTGACAAGCATGATTTGGACTTTTTCATTGGAGTTCTTGAAGCTATGGGATTCTCAAGTTCAACGGTTTAGTAAATCAGGAAGTACATCTCTTTAGTATCTTACCAACTTCTCATTAATGGGCAGCCAAGCAGTAAATTCTTTCCTGAGAGGGGTCTCTGTCAAGAAGACCCACTTTCCCCTTACCTGTTTATCCTAAGTGTAGATGTCATCTCTGGATTACTGAAAAGGGAAGTGAAAGCTAAGAACATCCATGGCATTCAAGCAGCAAGGAAGGCCTCAATCATTTCCCACCTCTTCTTTACAGACGATAGTTTGGTGTTCGCTTTAGCCAATTTCATTGAAGTTGATTGTATCTTACAAACCCTTACAAGATACCGAGATGCTTCAGGGAAAGTGGTAAATTTGGAGAAGTTAGAGATTCTTACATTTGAAACGTTTGTGATGAAGAAAAAGATTTGGTAGTTAATAGGATATGGGTAAATATTATTCTCATCCACTCCAAATACTTGGGGCTTCTGTAGTGTTTGGTAGATCGAAGAAGGAAATATTCTCAATCGTCATTGATCGAGTGTAGAATAAAATTAAAGGATGGAAATAAAACTTTTTATCTAGAGCTAGGAAAGAGGTCTTAATCAAAGCAGTAGCACACACAATCTGAAGCTACATCACGAGTTATTATAAACCTCCTGAGAGATGCTATAACGAAATAGAAACCTTGCTGGAAAAAATTTGGTGGGGTGCAATGAATATTGAAATACAATTCCACCTGATGAGCTTGAAAATATTGGCCCAGGAAAAAGGAGTAAGAGGTATGGGATTTCGAGGGATTGGGGATTTTAGCAACAACTTACGAGGCAAACATTACTAGGCAAACATTATTGGATACTTCTCACATGTGATTACTCGTTGTTTGATAGGTATTTCAAAGGGAGGTAGTATCTTAGGTGTCACATTTCAGAGGCTATAATTGGGTTTTTCCCAAGCTATGCATGGAGAAATATCCTCAGTGCCAAATAGCTAATCTCAAAGGATTCAAGATGGTGAATCAAGAACGAAGATAAGGTGAAAATTTTATTCGATAATTGGATGCACTCAAATCCAGGCTTTAAACCTCTTATCCAAAGGAAAGATATGGACATGGATGCTAGAGTTTGCAAACTTATTGATCAGGACCTTGACATATGGAATTTGGAGTTGATCGAGGTAGGTTTCGACCAATCTGAAGCACAACAAATAGCCAGCATACCTCAGTCACTTAGATTTCCAAAAGAAAAATTGATCTGGCACCATGAAAAGGGTGAAGAATACTCAGTCAAAACTTCTTATCATCTCATTGGGGAAGAAAGTAGAAATAATCGATTAGAACCCTCAAACATTCCAGCTAAAGAGATGTGGAAGAAGCTTTGGCATGTGCTGGTGCAAGCGATAATCAAGAACTTCTTGTGAAACATTGCTAAGAACATCTTAATAACAAAGCTCAACCTGCATAAAAAAGAAAACAAGTCAAACACAAATTGCTCTCTTTTCCATTTTTTTCCTGAATCATCCCAACACTTATTTCTGCAATGTGAAATCACAAAGAGGGTATGTCCCCCTTATGGGCTTTCGTCAGCATCCCAACACTGATTTAAATGATTGGCTTTTGCAAGTTTTAAACTATAGTGACCCTATGGTTACCCAATTGATGTGTACTGCTATGTGAAAGATTTGGCGTGCTCGTAACCATAATGAACTCCACCATAAGATAATTGAGCCATATGTGGTTGTAGAGGATGCCTTAGAGTTTGTGTTGTATTTTAACATGGCCAACCCAAATTTGTGGGTAAAGGAAAAATCAGTGTAGAGTGATTTTTTTGAACTTCCTTCCCAAGGTATTTCGTTAGTCCAGGTTGACGTTGGATGCTTCCAAGAAGACTTCATATTAATGGAATGTATGATCAAAACTTTGGACACAAGAATCATCCAAGCATCGAGCAAAAACAACCACATAATTGTTGATCCGAGAATTGTTGAGCTTCTTGCAGTCAGGCGGGCCTTGTAGTTAGCATAGGAACTGAATATAAATAATGTACTCTTTCAAACAGGTGCTCTTCTTATAGTCTACTGTATTAATTCAGTCAGTTACTCTATTGTGCTTGATCATGTCGTGGTCGACTAGAAACATATTTTAAGTAGATTTAAGAATGTTTCTCTATTTCTTTTGAATATGTCCCTTAATTTTGAAGCTCACCATATGTAGTGGCAAAACGGGTTCGTCCCGTTGGGCAATGCCTATTTTTCCTGCACTTTTAGTGCGGAGCGGGCCAAACGTTTAAGCCTGCACCCTCTAATGTGCCCGCTCTTCCTCGTCCCATTTTTATGCAAGCTTTTACAGGTGCGAATATTAAAATGATTTTTTTGTATTTTTAGGCTTAAAAGATGTAGTGTCATGCCCTCACTTTTTTATAAAGCAGACCTAAATTTTAAACTCGCGCTCTTAACTATGTCTGCCCTGTGTCACACCGTTTTTTCATGGGCTTTTCGAGACGGGTCTAAACGGGGCGAACATACTCATTTGCCTCCTCTAACTATATGGTAGACATAAGAAAAAGATATGACTCTAGAACCTGATTAGATTACATCCCTGAGTTGGATGTTCTCCCATTTGTAATTTCTCTGTTGCCCCATCTTTTTTTTACAGTAAACAATCTCATTCAATATATGAAAAAGAGAGAGTACAAATATAGAGAAAGAATACGTGTTAGGGCATTTTCCATCCGCAATTTAACAGCAACACTAATAAATAACCCAAACAAACTATGGACATCAAAAAGCTTTGAGAAATTAGAACCTCGAAGAAGGTTATCAATCCAAATATTTAATCCAATCAACCAAACAAAGTTCTTCCGCAAGAGCCAAGTGAGTTTTGAAACCTCAACCTTTAAATCTATCCAGTTAAAGATTATTTCTTTAGCTTTATCACGCCCAATTCGATTATATAGGTTCTTAAGAATGATTAATATCACAACTTTTGGATGAAATATTTGTTGACTGGAAGGAGGAGTTTGAACTGCCACATCCTTAGCAAGATTCTTACTAAAAAACACAACTACTTCATTCAAGCTTCTTTGAGGTGTTTCATCAAATACCTTGAGCACAAACTTAAGACACCAAAAACCTAAGAGCACCACACACAACAGAACAAACCAAACAAGAAAAGGCATGATCAACAACAAAACAAACACAAAAATATAAAACATTACATAAATACACACGTACACATAAACTCGTGACTATTAGGTCTTTCGATGGTGGTGGCTCCAGTGGGGGTGTCTTCCATATCGGTACCACTTTGGCTCATCGGTTGGTGGAGATGATTTTGGAATTACACGTGATTGATGGTTGATGGCAGAGAGTAAGTGAAGCGTGATAGAGGTTGGCGGAAGATCCATGTGTGAATCTAATAGAGATGGGCTTTCGAAGGAAAGAAGAGGGATGAGAGAAAACTTATAGTGAGGAAAGAACCTCTATTAAAGAGGAGATGACCACTATACTAACGGTGAAAACTTCGATGAGATAGGAGGAGCCCTTACAAAAAGGGAGACAACACTCCGTAAAAGAAAGACACCCTAAATTTAGAGTGAGGGTGAAACTTCTCTCTCTAAACATATTGATATGACTGAATTATTGTTGCCTCCATCTTATAAATAGAAAGACTTTACTATAAAAAAAATTATCCAGGTAAAAATAAATTTGAGAGAGAAGAAACTTCCACAACCAAATTTCTAGAAGGGCTCACCCAAGTCAGTGGCTATCTCATAAGAATCCATCCACTGAAATCAAAATAAAATAGCAATAAAAATCGCTTAAATCATAAATTCAAAAGTAGTATCACTTCACACTTCAATTAACTAATCTCTTTGGTTTGATTGAGTTATTTTGAAATAAATAAACTCTAATAAAATATAATAAGTCAATAAGTAAGAAGCCTGAAATTGGCAACATGTCCACACAAAAAAAGGATGTTACAAAGTCCACGACTATAAAAAAGCCTACTTCTCGGTATAGGTCGTGCCTTCAGACATTAATGGAAATATCATATTTGGCTGACAAATGTGCTCATAATATACCTATGGAGGAAGGTATTTTTGGTTTTTTCTATTACGAAACAATAAGTAAAGAGGATGTGGATCAAGTTCTTAGACATGAAGAATTATGCCTCGGTGTTATCAATACATACATCAGGTATACTCTGATCAACTTTATTTAATTAATTGAACAATTTATCTACTCATTTCAATGAATGGTCTTAATGTTAATGATGTTTTTATTTAAGTTTCATGTATGCCAACTTGATGCGTCCACATCAACTGGGCCAAAGATTTTGTTTCTTATCTCCAAACAATATCAACTCACTATTAATTGAATAAAGACCAAATGAAGTCAAAGAGTACTTTGTCCGTACATTTATGGCAAACAAAGATACAGAAAAAAAATTTCTATTTAATACTAGCAATGGGTAAGATTTTCATTCAAACTTCATCTATTATAATTTTTCGTGTTTTGACGATCTGTAGAAAGTTTCCATCTAACCTTTGTTAATCTTCTAGTGGACATTGGTTGTTGGTTGCGATTAATCCAATAAGAGAAATTGTATATTATTTGGATTCATTAGAATGTGATTGGACAAAATACCCAAATATGAAGGAGATGGTTGATAAGTAAGTTAGATTGTTCTAAATCTTCGTTTGTATACTTATTTATTTTTTTATGTGAGATTATTCTAAATATTCGTTTATATTTTGTTAGTTATACAAATTTTTCTATCACAAAGAGATATTCAAGTATCAAAGAGTAAAGCAAACAACATTACATGGATTAGAGTGTAGGTATATTTTCACAATTTTGATTATATTAGTGATGCTACTTGATAAAACAAGTTAAACTATATATACTGATATATATTCGTATTTTTTCCATGTGTAGTGTTCTCGTCAGCGTAATGGTATAGATTGTGGTTATTTCATATTGAGTTTTATGAAAGAAATTACTCTTTTAAATCAAATAGAGATTCCAACCATGTTATGAGTTTCTAACTTATAATTTATTTTAATATATTTAACACGTTTCATCGAATTAATTAGTTTTAATTAAATTATATTATGTAGTAATTTGATGAATACAAGTCATCTATTTATTTGAAAGATCAATTGGACGAAATTAAGGAGGATTGATGTCAATACATTATTGAGATGAGAATTTTATAAGATATTGTGAAACTTTCACTGATGAGAATTTTGAGTATATATCAGTTTGAGTTTTGATGAGATACTTATATTGTCATTAGTGTGGTAAATTGTGTTGCAATGTTGTTGTTGTTATGTAGAAGGTTTGTTAGGATGGTATTAGATTTAAATTCAAACAAAGTTTTATTTGTATCATGATATTAACCGGAGAATTTTTAATGGTAGATTATAACATATTCTTGATTTGTTTTTGTTACGTTGATTTCTGTTAAATTATAATAGTTATAAGATTTAAGTGTTATATTACTTGGTTTTGATATATATGCCTCTGTTGGTTTTGTTTCAGGTAGGTGCATATGTAGAAGATATATAGATTCATTTATGATTCTTCATTGTTGTTGTTTGTAGAGAAGATAGTAGAGAAGATAGCAGCTCTAGAAGATAGTAATATGTACATTTGGTGCATATTTATTGTATTATAAAGTTGTATATATAAATATGTAAGTTTATGTATATATAAATTATTGAATTCTTCAAGTTGTATCCCATTTATGTATATATAAATTATTAGATTAAAGTTGTATATATAAATATGTAAATTTGGTGCATACTTATTGGATTGAAGCTACAGATTTATGAAATTTGGTGCAAATTTAAAAGACAACGCTTAAATTTTAAGTGATTAGTTGTACAGGACGCTTAAAATATAAGCTGAATATATTAAAAAATTTGTGAACATTAGACAACGCTTTAAACAAAAAAGCGTTTCCTATGATGGGGAATAGAAAGCGCTTGTGAAATACAAAGTGCTGCCTAAAAGGGACTTTAGAAAGCGCTTCTAAATAAAGCACTGCCTAAAACATAAAAAGGTGGAAAAACAATACATTACACAGCGCTTTCAAAAGCGCTATCTTAAGTGAAAGCCTTTCTATAGGCACACTTTAGAAAACGCTTCTAATATTAAAAATGTTGCCTATATGGGCCTTTAGAAAGCGCATATTGAATAAAGCGATGTCTAATAGCTACATTAAGCAGCGCTTTCACATAGACAAAAGTGTTGTCTTTACTTACAGCAGCGCGGGAATAGGCAGCGCTTATAAGCGATGTCTATGACAAAAAAAGTATTGTTTATTCCCTTATATGGCGTAGTGGTTGCGAAACGGGGTTGTTATTATGATATTTTGCATGAAGTGTGACACCCTTGAATGATGATTTTACTTGAATTATTTCGTAAATTATATGAGAAATATATGAGGGATGATGTGTCTGCGATCGACCTAATGTCTAACGGTATCTTAACTGCAAGCGCACAGCCTATCGCGGTAGTAATAAAAGATTGTCGAATCCACAGGGACTTTGTAATCACTCTAGTGCGGGAAAGTAATGCTAGTTTAGCTAAGGCGGAAATTGTCACGTTTGGTTTTGGGAAGGTTAAGGAAGGTAAACTAATTGATTTTAAAGTAATTATAAAATGAAATGGTCAGTATGCAATAGAGTCGACCTAAAGGATCTAATCGTACCTAGGCATATAAGGATGGTCAACTTGGTTTATCTGTAGAATTAATCAGTTTAAAAACCCTTAACTCACACTTTCATGGTCTTATCTCGGATTATACGTCTAAAGCCCTATACCTGCTTTCGCTAGCCTATAAGTGTTTAGAAGTATTTTTTGGAAACTTAATTAATTCTAATTTGGTTTAAAGCGCTTTCACTGTATTTAAATCAAATGCCTAACTTTAGCTATCCGGTTAAAAACCTCACACTTTCGTGGTCTCGATCTAACCTATTTACTCTTCTTACTTTCGTAACAAAGGTTTTATTTTTAAGCACAAAAAGTTATAACCAGAGTTAAGTTGATTAAAGTTTTAGCCTAAGTTTGATCAGATGCTTAATGTCTCTTACTATCCCATACCGACGCTAAAGGTTTAGCTAGCCATGGAAATTATAATGAACGTACGGGAAATAAAAACAAACAAATATAGATTGGACATTATAAATAATAAATTAAACTTGCATTAATTAATTAAAAGGTATGTAATACAATTGCAAAATAGAAACCTGAAAATAAAGTCAATACTTCAATCCCTCTTCCACAAATCGGAAACTCGGACTTGGTATCGGTAATATGACAAATTCTGAGGCTTGAATAATAAATCCTAAACTATAATAATAATTTCCTGATGTTGGAAATTATTATTTGGGCAATGAAATTAAAAGAACGGAAATAAACGAATGCAGAAAAATAACAACTGAAGGAATAATGGTTTTGATTTCGGCAGAGCTTCCGCACAAGTAAACTGTAATATGCTTTGTGCCTCTAATGTTGAATGTTGAGGTATTTATAGAAGAATGAATTTGGCAGTTGGCTTGAAGACTTGTAACGAAGCTTTCCTTAAAAATCTCCACAAATGTAGGAACGTGGGTAGTTGAGGAAGAAGTGGTGAACGTGGAGTTTGACTGGAGAGAAATAAGGAGTTTGAAAACTCCTTCTGTTTTGCTTTGCCACGATCTGCACTTTCAAATAACTGGTATGCGCATTACGGTCATCACTGAGGCGTTACGAGCAGGTTTGGTGTTTCTCCGTGTTACGGTCGTGGCAGATGTGTTACGGTCGTAACACGCTTCATGATGGCTTACGGTCGTGGCAAATGTGTTACGACCGTCACAGCTACAAAATCTGTAATTCTTGACAGATTTATCTTTTTCTTCTATTCTTTTGATGCTTTCTTGCATTGTTTCATGTTTTCTTCTGTTTTAAGCTGAGTTATGAATACCTGCAAAAAGTAATGACAAACTCGAAATATTCGGGAGTTAATCGGGTCAAAATAATACAGAACGGGTAAATTTCATGGAAAATAAACGATACAATTTCGTGTTATCAAATTCCCCCATACTTAAACCTTTGCTTGTCCTCAAGCAAAATAATCAATTAAAAATATCGGACAAGTTTTTATAAACGCACATAACTAGTATACCTTTCGTTTTCAAATAATTACAAGAAATCCTAAGTTAGTTCGGCCGAGAAAATCGAATGAAACAACAACGATACGTAAATGACACAAGCAACAAGCTAGTCGACGACTATCCGTTTTAAACGAAACGTCCAATTATACCG